TGTAACTATTGTTTTAATTTCAACATTCATGTTTTCTCTGTTGTAGTTTGTGTATTTGCTGTTTGGAGAGGCTGCTCCTCGCGCCTCTAAGGGATCTTCTTGTATCTATTCATTATTTTAATGGAATTGATGTTATTTATCAAAAAAAAAACTTGAGAAAAGGGGTACTTGGTGGAGGGAGATGGGATGAAGATGGTGATAACCAAGAGGAGGTGTTTGTAGGGAAAGAATAGGTTCTTTCCTCTGCTAGACTCATCTTGCTTGAGTTGCAGCTGACCTTTACGATTTTGGTTTAGGATCTGGTTCCAGAGGAGTTAATTTTTCTTTTTTTTTCAGAGTTTCTTTTTGCTGCCTGTTTTTAGAGTAAGAAGTGTGTAAGTAGTCTGTTCTTCTCTCAGGTGATTTCTTATCACCTTCCTTCTGTATTCTTTTTTTATTGTTAATGGAATTTTCTTATTTACTTTTCAAAACAAAAAACAGGAGTGAAATAATCTTAGATGTATTGTAATCCTTATCCCTTACAAAGCCAAAATAAGCAGATATAATCAGTTCTGAACTATCTTTGAGAAGACTTGTCTGGAAAATTCTGTGTTTCTAGTTTCCACTGGACAACTATCATTATCCTGTCCATGGCTATTAGGAAAGTGGTTATTGGAGATTTCCCCTGGAGCAAGACAGCTTGTGGCACAATGTGGTAGTAAGTATTCATGGAATGGCAACTAATGAATGAGATGCTGGTCTCAACCCTAGGGCTTCTCTTTTTTCCCCTTGGAAAGCCATTGTTGGAGTCCTACCTACTTTTTGTCCTTTTATCAGGCATGATGCTTGCTTGGGTAATAAAATTCTTTTTGGGAGGATGTCTGGATTGGGGACAGTCCTCTTAAGGATAGGTTCCCAATTACGTATCCCCTTTCGTTAAATAAATTCAAGGCCATATCCTCCCTTTGTGTGTCTAGGGGTTCTTGGGATCTGGGCTTAAGGGATTCAAACGTAGCAATTGAAACTCCTGCTTAATTCCAATGTATTTCCTTTTCTTTCTGTTGACAGCAGACCTGGATGCTACCTTGTATGGACTCTTGATCTTTTTTTTTTGGATTTACTGTGGGTCCTCATGGAATTAAATTTGTCTGTGACGCCTCATAATTCTTAATTGATGAACAGATGAAGGGAAAATTACTACATCTATATCCCAACTAGGGTGTTTCTTGACCAGGAAGTTCAACACTTCAACTGGAGATGATTGGTTCTTATATTCCCATATGAAGGAAATGATACGCGAAAAATCAATTTCCTTTCTCAGTGAAGACAATAAAGGAAAACACAATCTAGTTCTTGTGTTCTAACTTCCTATCTGAATGCTTTACTTTTATCCATAGCCAGTTTTTCTTTGGATTCTATAATTTATGCTTGATGCAGGTGAATGTTAACTTGGCTGGGTTGCCTGCATTGGTTCTGCCATGTGGATTTGTAGAGGGAGGAGTTGCTGGCCTTCCTGTAGGCCTTCAAATGATTGGTGCAGCATTTGATGAGGTATTGAATTAAGTTTTCTTATCATTGATATTTAGTAATGGAAAGAATTGTTTCTAAGGTAGTGGTGAGTTGGCTAAAGAATGATAGTCAAGGAACATGGCATCATCAGCATACATGAAGGGAATTAAACGTTTAGCAAGGAAACTGGTTGATACCTTTCATTGGAAAGTAGTATGGCTGATTCATTAACAAAGCAAGGGGTAAGCAACCAGAACTATTTCTGGGGGTAATCAATTAATGTTTTATATAAAAAACAAGTATGGGGTTAGGTTGTGGAAAATGGGCCAATTCTCTTTGCACACAAGCATTCTTTTATTATAACCACTAAAGCTTCTGATGTTAACAATCAAAAGATTAAAGAATTGTTTCTAAGTGGAACTTCTATGTCTATTAACTAATACAGTTGATGTCCTAATCAAATCTATGAAAGTTTTGTTACAAATGAGGTTAGTTAGGAAGAGAACATCATAAAACGGAAGGGTAGAAATGAGAATAAGAGTAGAGGACTGCAGCAATTGATCTATATATGGGTTTAAGCCTTATAATTTTCATTGTTAATTTGGTTGACGTGCATAGCATTTTCAAAGTTATAACAAAAGTGCAAATCCTTGATAAGATCGTCTTCCCTTCTGGTAAAACTGATAGACTTGGAGTACTGAATCCAAGCATTAGATTTTTGACACCAAGTCCATTGGGAGTACTCCAGTAAGCTTGATGTGAATTGTTCTTTTCCTTACTTTGTCTTGAGTTCTGGTAGCTCATATTTTCTTTACTCTGTATTTGGATTTGTGAGTCATTTGTGGAGTCACCATGTTATAAATCATTTTCCCATATTGTTCATAGCAGTTGTTGGGAGGGTGGTTATGGAACATTGAAGACATGGATGGTCTACTATGAAAGGAGGCTCAAATCCATCCAGCCTTGCTACTGCATGGACAAAACTTCTAAATGAAAACTAAATTGGAGAAAACTAGATGGCTTCTACCCTGACTTGTCTTTCATTTGTCGCAGGAGAAATTGCTCAAAGTTGGCCATATTTTTGAGCAAACTCTTCAAGGTTGCAGATTTCTTCCACCATTAGTAGCAGACAGCCTTTCATGATTGATCTTCATTGGGATTTAATTTATCTGGAGAAAGCTGAAGCCAATATTCTTTGTCATTGGAAGTGGTAAGTTTATAATTTCAATGTTTGGAAATTTCTGAAATGAGACAGAGTGTAACTTAAAATATCATTTTGGTGGACTCAACCAGCTATTTCAAGCTGATCTAAACCTACTTGATCTGAAGCAATTTTGCAAGGTTGAAATATGATTTTCTTTTGCTTGACTAATTGCATAGGCAAAGTTTGTTGCATAGTGCATAATCTTCAGGGAGCTCATCTTTATCTTGTATTGAATAGCCAACTTATCATTTAATAAAATATACTTGACTTCACTCAACTTAACTCGGCCTTCATCCCAACTATTTTGGATTGGTTACACGAATCCTGTCCTGCCACTGCATACATTGTTTAATAAATATACCTATATAAAAGGATAAAAAGGATGCATACATATAGTAATTGTGTTAAGTTTTACCCAATTCTATGAGTTATGTTCTTTTTGTTCAGTATTTGTGAGAATTTAATTGGTTTTAGCTTCAAATGTTTTAAAGCCTCAAGTACAGCAACTTGAATTTTAGTTAAGTAAAACCATATAATAAAATTTCAAATTATTTTAACTAAATGACATTTGGGCTCCTTCAATTAACTTGAATTTTGATATTTAAGGTTGCAGCTGGGGTATCTTAAAATAAGTGCTCATTGTCTTCCAACACTTATGCTTTAAATCTAGTACTTACAGGTCACCAAACAACTAAAGTTTTGTGGCTCATGCATATATTTAATCTACTTCTTAGTTACACTCACTGTGTAATTGTTTTTAGCTTGTCTCAGATGGTAGGTTAAAAACACCATGTATTTAGGCATAAACCTTAAGAAAACGTTCAAAGTTTACAATATTATCCCTTGGTTTAACAAAACTTGAAGACCAGCTGCCCTAACGAAATTTTAAAATGATAAGAGCACCCCTTTAGTTAGACATTTACTTTAAAATTGAAAAACAAGTTGGAAAGCCCATATCAAATGAAAACAACATATTGGTTGGCTGAGTGAATGGTTCTGTCACCAATTGCAGGACCGAGGTGGGAAGTAGATTGTGGAATTGGGGTGGATGGAATTGAATGGGAGACAGAAGATCAGGTAGTATGTTTAAATGAGGTTAAGGGAATGAATAAAAGTTAGAGTTGAGGAATGTTATTGTCTTATTGAGATAGAGATTGGAAAGCTGACGAGTATTTTCCATCAGGTAGGAGAAATTACAGTCAGAAAAGTTTCTAAGGGTAGGTTTGGTTCCCTGGAATAGGTGCCTGGAATCGGAATGATTCCAATTCCAACTGTTTGTTTGGTTGGAACGGGATTCCGATTCCCATTCTAGAGTCCAAGTAAAGAACTCTTGGACAAAAAAAAACCCCAAACCCTAATATTAATAAAATAATAAAATATTATTAAAATGCAATGTTTATACATAAAAGACAGGCCTGGAACCCAGGCTGGAGCCAGGCTATAGCCCTTATTGGAGTGTGGATCACTTGTTTTCCTCCATCTTTTCCTCTTCCTTTGGTGATTCCGTATCCTCTATTTCTTTCAATAATTTGGCTTTGCCACAAAAAAAAACTTTGATCATTTTGAATTTAATATAATCTAGAAGCAATTGGTTAATTAAAAAGCTTGGAAGCTTCAGACTAAAATTGCTTTTAATCTTGAATTGGTTAATTAAGGGGGTGTTAGATAACATGGCTGTTTTTTGTTTTTGAAAACAAAAACAACTGCCATAACAATAAATTTTGCTGATGTATCAGTTGTTTTTGTTTTCAAAAACAAAGCCAACCATGTTATGGAACACTCATAAATAATTACTTAGGGTTTTGATGTATAGTTACGTATGCAGATGCCTCCCCAATAATTCTCCTTCCCGGTTCTCACGTAGGGTTGTATTGTGACTTTCATTTTGACAGGTAAATCAACTCTGCACCGAGGCAGGATAAACTGGGTTGATCGATGGATAGCACCATTCTACTTCCTGTCCACTCATTTTAGGAGAAAAGCCGAAAACAGCCAAAGAATCTGGCAAGGACTGAAGCACAAAATAGATGTTATGATGTTAGACAATATTCCACAATTAATTCTTTGTTAGTGTTCCGTTATTCCATTTTGACTGTCAGACTGTCGGGATTCATTATTGAAAATTTCTGCAAATGTAATCTAATTGTAGAAGTGAAAATTGGGTAGATTCAATTACAAAGGATATGGCCTCATCAAATCACAATTCATTGCATTAGGGTAGGGTTATTCAGTGATTTAAAAGGTGCGCCATAGACATACATGCGAGGTGCATTTTAGGGTAGGAGTCTCGCCTAGGTCTTAGGCAAGTACTTTCAAAAGGTGCACATTTGGTGTGCTTAGGCATACACCTTGCGCCTTAGCCAAGGTGCACATTTGACATGCACATTTGGTGTGCAATGAAAATTTTATGTTTTTTTTTTTGTTTTTTAAATCTCCGAGAGCTCTCTATATGCTAATGTTGTTTATTCATTTATCGTAATAAAATATCTTATTAAAAGATAATTAAAATTATCAAATCATTATTTTTTGTGTGAAAACTAAGAATTTAAGACTTTAACATGGACTTGCTTGGGCTTGCCTCGAGGAGTTTAGCACAAAGGTAGTTCCTAGAATTAAGAATGTAATATGTTTTATATTACATTAGTTACTTGAAGTAATGCAATTGAGGAAAAAAAGAGATTGTGGGTTTTACATGCTTGAAAATGTTTTATATGTTTGATTTTATTTTTAAATTTTCATTTGAATACGCTTTACATGTTATGTTTATATATTTTAATTTTAGATATTAGGTTTTTTAAAGCATTAGTTTTAAAATTTAAGTTTATACTTTTTATTAATATTATGTTTAATATTTTTTGAAAATTTTGGCTTTTTTTGAATTTTTTTGTATTTTTCTGCATCTTGCTTCAAAATGGTGCACGTCTTGTCTTGCGCCTTACACCTCGAGCGCAAATTGGCCCTTGTGCCTTGCACTTTTAAAACAGGGTTATTAAAATTTACATTTATAATCCTAGCTGACCCATTCAGGCATAAAGAATATTTGTATGAACCAAGGTTGATCACTTCAAATTTTAAGTTCATTCTCTCAATCGTTTGTATAATGGATATGTTTTAGTTTTTAGATGATTTTTAATGTTGGGCTTTTAGCAAGAAAAATAAAAGGGTTGCCAAATTAATAAAATCAGTTATGCTTTCAAATTTATTGCAAAAAGAGTGAGCGAGAGAATTTTTTATTTTTTCTAACCAAAATGACCTTATTTTTTTGACCAAAATGGCCTTAACTAAAAGGAGTGGTCCAATGAAATCCGATTTCTTTATCTGTTTTTCAATCTTATTCTCTCCCTTCCTTTTCTCATTCTTCATTCATCATGTGAGAGTCATTATCTTATTCTCCCCTCTCCCTTTTCAATCTTAATTTTTCATCTCTCTCTCTTACACACACACAAACAAAGGTTGAGCTATTGTTCAAGTGCCTTTTTTATTTCTATGTATTGGTTTCTAAGGCTGCATTTAGATTAAGACTGATAACCAGGTTTATGAAAAACTAATGAGATTGAGATGTTGTGATTCAAAGTTTGTATCAACAAGGCTCGTGCTTGAGATGTCATGATTCAGACTAAGAACCAACTTTCTTTATGTTAAATATCAATAAGGCTCTATCCAATATTTGGTTGTATGTGCAATATTAACAAGATATCTTAACCACTACGGTTGGTAATTTATAGGTGCAGGGAACCATCCGGTCTATATGATGCTAGATAGGTAATGATTGCAACTTAAAAACCATCTAACACTAATTAGACTGAATGAATGCTTGCAATTTTGAAACATCACTTATAATTGCAAATATCTATCCCCTAGATCTACTTGTAGTTACACCATCAAATGCATCTAGAACCCAATAAACCACATGGTTCTATATGATTCTCATATGTGTGCAAATAATCCGGTATATGGCAATTTATTACAGTTTTGAATCATGTGTATAAACCATACGGATGATTTATTACAATTTTGAATCACCAATTGCAATTGCAAATATCTATCACAAAGGTGATAAAATAGTATTTACACCTTCAAATTCATCTAAAGCCCAACAAACCATAAGGTTGTATATGATTTTCACAAGTGTATAGACCATCCGGTATGGGAAAGACCGAATAGTGTTTTATAGACTTTGAAACCATTCAACATTACATAGGCTGAATGATTGCTTATAATTTTGATTCATCAATAACACAAGTGATAAAATAATAGATACACTCAAATTCATCTAAAACCTAATATACCACAATATTGTATATGATTCTCATAAGTATACATGCTATCCGATGTAGTAGAGACTAGATGGTATTTTATAGACTTAGAAACCTTTTGGCATTAAACAGACCAAATGGTTTATTGTAATTTTTTGCAACATCTATCACCCATGTGATCTAGTAGTATTTACACCATCAAATGCATCTAGAACCCAATAGACTGCATTGTTCTATATGATCCTCATAAGTGTGCAATCCATATGGTAATGAACAAGCCGAATGGTGTTTTATAGACTTAGACACTATTTAACATTAAACAAACCGGATTGTTTCTTGTAATTTTGACTTATCAATTATAGTTGTAAACATTTATCACCAGGTGATCTAATAGTATTTAAACCATTAAAAACATTTTAAACCCAATAAACCACATAGTTCTATATGATTCTCATAAATGTACAATCCATTTGGAACCCATTAAGGTTTGATACAAACCATTGTTAGTAGTTCTATTCCATTCCCACAATAAAATGATGGGTACAAAGTCTGCAAAAAAAGAAACACCAAGAAATTGGTCATCAGAAAAGTCGTCTTCTCCAATTCTTATGCTGAATTCAGTAACATCAAACTCATCTCCTGCCAGAACTATGAAACAATTAACCCTATCAGTAATTAGACCATATAATCTTCCAACTATACCAAAACGATTGCACATTGTATCCATCGTTAGGCTTAAAAAGAAAAGAAGGCATTGAAAACCATCATGAGCAAAGTGGTTTGAAATTCAGATAAAATATTAGCCAACACTAGTAGCAACTTCATGGACTTTGGGTACAACAACTAGAAAAGTGTCATCAAGAAAACAAATGGCACCAATGGCGCTACCCTCAATGACCCCATCTGCATACACCCATGCAATGAATGAAAAAGTTGCCCCATTAGAAAAAAAAAATGCACTTCCATCTCTCGTATAGTTCAAGCCAAAATAGCATCTCTAGTCATAAGGACTACTCAGATGAGCAAAGTCCTCAAACTTAAATTGTAATAGATCTTCCAATACTTCCTTTGCACCATTCGAGAACAAAAGACTCTATTCCAAATGATCCATGAAGACTTCACCATGAAATACTAGTAAGAAGAAAATAGAAAACCTCACAAATGTGAGAGAAAAACTCGCATCTAAAGATGGAGAGGAAAACCATAAGAATGAGAAGACGAAGAGAGTGAAAAGGGGGAGAAAACGAGAGATTGGGTGGAGAGAGGAATATGGTCTTATGGGTGGGTTTTAAATGAAGGGCAATTTGGTCCTAAAAAATTAAAAGCCTCTTCACTATTTTTGCAATTATTTTAAAAACATGACTGAATTTGTCAAATGACGAAACTTGGTTATGCAAAAAGCCATTTCACGTTTTTAGGTGGTAAGACAAACTCTGTTGAGATTATTTCATTCCAGGTGGTTCCATAAGCCTTAATTGAATGCAGAAAGTGGATGGCTTTTGTCAAAATTTGAATGGATCCGATCTACAGTCCGAGTCTTCGATGTAAAATGTTAGTTCGAATTGCAAACCTACCCTTAGGCTGTGTTTAGTTTCCTTAGACTTCGTTTGAAAACAATGTAAATAAGTGTGAATGCAAATATGTAGAGTGTAAAACGGTCCATATAAATTGTAAAGTTGGGTTAGTTTTGCAAACACAAATAGACTTTCTTTTAACTGCAATGGATGCAAACATGAATTCCAATAAAACATATGCCTTTTTTTTTATCAAAAACCCACTTGAACGCAAATTTACTTATTTTTTATTGATATACTTTTACATCTTATTATCAATGTAAATATGCATTGGAAAATGTGTTTCTATCATTTGTCAATGCACAAATGTAATGTTGTCAAATACAGAAAAAAATAAACCAGAATGCAAATTTACCCTAAACCGGGATTTATACTCCATTTGCATCGTTTTTCAAACGCAGCCTTACCTCAGCTGGTTTCAAAATCTTTAACCAGTCTTTAAACTGGTCACCAGGTTTATTTTATAAACTTATTGCAAATGTGAAAAGCTAAATGGAATATTTTATTTTATTTTCCTACTTTTTAGACTTTTTTTATGCAAAAGGCCCATTTAAAGCTTTCCATAACATGACTTTTTTTATTGGCTTTTGGGTTCTCTAGTGTGAAAACTGAAAAGCACAAAAATTCTGTTGGAGAAGCACTCCCAAACGCAACCAAAATTCAAACCAACCACATAGATATATGTTAATTTTATGAAACTGTATGCATACATATAAATGCTTAAATTTTAGCAGGTTGGAATAGATTAGATAAAGGGCTGCCAATGGATCAGTCTAGTCTGAGTCAGGGTAGATCTAGTCTCGACCTGTTGAAGGGATGAAAGGGCTAGGGGTTAGAGCTATAAAGTGGGTCTTTCCGGCCTATTGCCCGTGGGCCGATATGGCCTGACCACTGTAGAAACTGGACCGTCCCAGGCTTGGATTTTGAGGCCATCCGGTACGCTGGGAATGACACAACTTAAGTTTTCATAATTTAACAATAGATATGCCATTTTCTTAGAAGATATAAATATGATAGAATAGAATGACAAAACAGAATTGATGTTGACAATCCCATATAGTTGAGATATGAAATAATAAATGAAAAACTGACCAATTATTAATCAGGACTAGTAGGTCTAATATGATGTAAATGGAGATATCTATCAAAAATAAATATGATGTAAATGGAGATCTTACATGTAATAAAACTCTATAACTGGGTCAGTTTGGATCTGTGGGCCTATCTGACCCAATCACCTCAATGGGATTATATGCAAGCTCAAATTTGACAAATGAATATTAAATGCATCATTTAGGGATGAGAATAGAGTGGGTTTGGAGAGGGTTTTATAAATTTTAGACTCTATTCACCTCCTTATACCTTCTAATTTATACAGTTATACCCCCCCAAAACCCATAATAGGTTGGATTTTCAGAATTCAAACCCTCCTTGCACATGAAAATGTAAAACCCTCTTTGCATTTGAAGGTGGGGTGGGTCGGATGTGGCAGCGTAGGTCTAAACCTGCATCTAATCTTCTATTATTTCCTATTATATATGAGTAATAAATAAGTAAAATAGCATGAACAAACATCAAAATTTTGAATGATTTGATTAAATATGTAAAAACACATAAACTATCAACTATCATTAACATAAACTTCAAAATATTATTACATTTAACATCTACTACATAATTTCATATGCCATCCAATAAAATGCTCGGCTTAGTCTAATACTATACCCTATCTATACCCATACAAGTTATAAAAATTCAAAACCTGTTCCCATTTCAAAATCCATTTTTCAAAGAAAAAAAAGGACTCCCATAGGGGCAAGTACCCATTGGGTAGGGTTTGATTTGGTTTGATCTCGTTTCCAGTTTTTTCAGTTACTCAAATCATCAGTTTTTAATCTTAGGGAAATTCTCTAAAACTCACCATGACTTTTTAGCATTTTTCTTAAATTTACCATAATTTTTCAAAATGTCCAAGAAACCCCACGTCAGTAATTTTTGTTTTCCTAAACTCACCATCCATTAGAGCATCATTAGTGTGCATTGGCAGAAGTTGTCCATGCCAAATAAATGTAATATTCATGATGAAATTATCCCTGAATGGCGAATCAACCTTATTAAACATATTTTTATGACTAAAATGCCCTTAAGCGTCCAACTGTCTTATATATAAAATTTCCATTTGTTGAGAGACGTTTTGCTCTCATTAGGTTACTTGAAAGAATTCGAAGAAAGCTGAAAAATGGGTTTTGGATCGAATTTTAATAGAGGTATTTCTAAAATATTGAAAAATGATATAATAAAGGGCAAAATGGTAATCTATTAATACATGTTAATTTGTTTAACGTCAAGTTGAAATGGTAACGCAAGTCATGGTGAGTTTTAGGCACATCTTAAAACCCGCACGTGTGATTCGTGAATGATACAGCCAAGGCAGCCTAAAAATCCCAGAATCCCTGGTGCAGCCGAAATGGGCAAAGGCAAACCATCCGAATCTACAATATATGAGATTTTAATTTCAAATCAATGGCTGATATAAATCAATCAGAAAAGTGTAGCCAATGATGAATCACTAGGATCCACACATATCCTGGGACCAGCTATGTCATTTACCGTACACGTGTCAAGATTGAGCCAACTGCCTCGTAGCGTAGTTCCAAGAGATTCCCCTGGCATCTTCTTACAGATTCGTTCCTGGGCTATAAGCGATCGAGGGAGTCGAGGGCCGGTGAACGTTAACGAATTCTGCAGAACAGAGGAAATATTTGGCGGTTTATTTATTTACTTATTTTCTCTTATTGGAGTCTAATTATCAATGGTCTCTTCTCCGGCCTTCGATCTTCGTCCCTAGGCATCTGGTAAACCCTAATTCGATTTTTTTCTATATTATTATATCTTGAGTTTGTCTACTTCAATCCATACTCTGCTTGGCTTCAAAATAACAAAAAAAAAAAAAAAAATCCATACTCTGCTCCATCGGATCTCGTTGTGTATAACCTAATTGGTGATGGAACTGATCTAAAATTTTCTTTTTTTAATCAATAAATGAAAGCTTCTGAAGTCGATTTTACTTTTTTTGTAACTCTTGTTTTTGAGTTGATATCGAGATAAACAAAGCAAGGAATTGATTGTTTTTTCTGGTGAATTAAAAGCTTAAGTAATTGAGTTTGAATGAATTTGCTTGGTTTCATGGTCTAGCTTTATTTTATTTCCTTTTTCTCAAATTTGTTTAGAATTACGGGTGTTCCTGTGGATAATGGAAGATCTTGTTAAACGAGCTTCTTTTGAAATTATTGGAAAAATTTTGATATTCTGCAAGAAATGGCATTCTGAAATTTGCTTTTTTTTCTCTCTTTCCCGATTATTTTTTGTTGTTGTCACTGGTTTTTTTCCTGATTGGTTAAACTTAGTTTATTTGTTTATTTATTTATATCCAATTATTTATGCTACTGTGAGATACTGGTATTTATATTCAATTATTTATTTATTTATTTATTTATTTATTTATTTATTCAGAACTACCAGATTTGGTAATTGTGATACAATGTGTAATATAAGAATACACTGTAATCACTAATAGAGTGTATTTTTGTTTAACATTGTTTGACAGGGTATTTTCATAGCTGATTGAGACTCCTATTACCATCTTTTACTTAGCCAGATTGCTCTTGTTCTGGAGAGAAATATGATGTTCAGAAGAAAGCCTCCTTCTTTGGTTGATCTGTGCATTAGAACTGCAATTGATAATGTTAGGTATCTTGGAGATGTTGGGGAAACGGACATAAACTTATTGAAGGAAATTTTGCCTCACTGTACAGTGGATCAGTTGATGCACATTGAGAAGTCTACGGAAGTAAGTTCGGCCTTCTAATTAATGGTTTTCTACTTACTTTTAACTAGTTAATGACTTTTAAATTAATATCTTGACTTTGCTTTTGGTAGAATCTAGAAATGAGCATTTGCCAAATTCTTGCAGGGAAGAGACCTGAGTCCAGTAACTGATAGCTTGTGGAAGAAATTCTATGAACAACAGTTTGGTGCTAAAAGTGCCAATCTTGTTATTGAGAGGATGAAACAGAGGAAGGTGTCATTTAAATGGAGGGATCTATACGACGTAATGCTTTCTCTTGTTTTCATTTATTCCTATTTTGTTTTCTCTTCTAGATAATGGTAATGTATTGCTATATTGTCTTTGTAATTGATTGTCCTGAGATCTTTTCTTATCATTAATGTAGTTGCAGTTAATTTGTCAAACATCCATGGCATCGATTTTGTAAGAAAGGATTTATTTGATTGCTTTCAGGCAAAACTGAAAGACTGGGATGAAGCTCAAAAGAAATCAGTTGATCGACTTAAGCAGCTTTATGAAAAGGAAGTTGTTAGTAAGTTCTTTATCACCCCATTGTTTACAGTTTCGATATATATATATATATATATATAGTTCTTTATTATTTCCACCAAGTAATTTGCTTTATTATGTTTACTGGTTCAAACTTCAGATTCTCATTTATGTCTGCATTTTCTATTGGCATTTGGCATCAACTGTAATGGGGTTTATTGAGAATTGTTTGTCATTGAATGAAGTTCTACATTTATAATAAACCAAATGTACTATTTCTGAAGTAACAGTCAATACATTTAGATAAAGTTATTTTTATATCACATCCTGTTTCGAATGCTGCTACAGTAACCCGAACCAGGAAGAGAAGGAAGAAGAAGAGGAAGAAGAAGAGAAGAAGAAGAAAGAAAATAAGGGTCTGTCGAAATTTGATGGACACCCATACAGTCGACCCCCTTAATCTTTATTAGATTCTAATGACCTTTACAAAGACTAAACTACCCTTA